GTCCCCTACTAGCCTAGCACCTTGAGCTGTAGTTATAAACCTCTGCTCTAGGCTTGTCTCATTTCTTAGGGAGTGTAGATGATTCCAAAATTTTGCAGCTGCCTTTTTATCTTTTTTATGTACTTCTGCCAGCCACTGAGCCCCCTTTCTTCTAATCTTTTCATTGATCAGAAGGGATCCTTCCCTTCTACAGCTTAGAAAGATGTCCGATTTTCTTTCAACAACATCTGTTGGTTCACCCCGCTGCTTAGCATGTCTGTGTTCCCTAGAGGCTTCCTGACGTTTTGCTATGGCTCTCTTAACTTCCTCATCCCACCAACTCTTGGGTTTGTGTCTTCTTTTCCGTGGTGACTTATCACGTGCCTTAGCAAGTTCTAGCTCAAACAGTCTAATTGGATTTGTATATGTCCACACTGTTTTGTTATCCTCAGTGATTACTTTCTCAATTTGTTTAGTAGCTACTTTTATTTGCCTTTCTGTATAAAAATTTTCCTGTAGTTGCTCATCTTGTCTCCTTCCCACTTTCACTGCTCTTCCAAAACTTAGCTTGATACGTTTGTGATCACTACCCAGACTTTTGGAGCCACATTCTATGTGCATTCCCCTGAGCCTATCATACATCCTATGTGACATCATTGCGTAGTCTATCATCGATTGCAGCCTTCCTACCTCCCATGTTATTTGCCCTTCACACTTCTTAGTACTGTTGCAAATGGTCAAATCATGCCTTTCACACATGTCCATGATCATTTTGCCTGTTGGGTCGATATACCCATCTATATCTTCTATGTGCGCATTCATATCTCCTAGTATAATTATCTCGCACTCTCCTCCTAATTCCTCAATGTCCTTTGATATACACCCCACCATTGCCTGTCTTTCCTCTCTGGCTTTTGCTCCCGTCCACAAGTACACCAAACCAAGGAGTGTCATCTGTCTAGCTACTTTCCCTCTTAACCATAAATATTCCATGCATCCCTGCTTGACTCTTTGCCAACTCATACTTTTTTGTATAAGTGCACCAATTCCACCCCCCTTTTTGCTGCCTTCTGTTCTATTGCAATATTCCCATACGTAGTCCGGATTGCAAGATAGTTCTCCATGTCCCGAAGATGTGTCTCCACAACCCCATATACCATCAGCTCCTCCTGCCTTAAGTGCTCTTCTATCTCTTTCCACTTTAACCTATTCCTGCCAGCCTGCATGTTAATATAGCCACAGAATATGTTATATAAGCACAGAATGCGTACAGCGTCATCTAGTATATCGTCACTCAACTGCAGTTTGCATGCATCCTTCTATCAGACAGTGCCATCTATTGTATGATAAGGAAGACGCTACTGGGTAAGCCGGAGGGACGAGGGATTGCCCTAGAATAGAGTGACCTATTCTAGGTCACTCTATTTTAGGGCAATCCCTAGAATAGGGGCGACAGTCCTAATAGTCCCTAATAGGAGCATCGCCCCTAAAAGCCCAGAAATGGCCCAGTACATTTTAGCAGAATGTCAGATTGCTTCGACCTTTCACAGGCGCTGTCATTCACAGCAGACGGGCATATTAACGAGTCAGTGGTTCAAATAAGTAAGACGTCCGTGTGTTTATTTCGGAGTATTGATGAAAAAAAGAAAGGAGAGAAGTGACTGATAGAACCGGAATTATTAGAGGTGCAGGTAACAGTATATAGAAATAACGTTTGTATGCAGAAAAGAGAGAGAGGAGAGATAGACAAAACACTAGACTGCAATAGATGCATCAACACCTCATTATGACAGACTAGGTGTTGGTGCTGCATTCCAAGGACTATTCACTTCCCAACTTTACTCCCGAAAAGCCACAGAGGCCAAAGGCAGGTCTTTGTCAGCAGTATATCACCTCTTCGTTTTCATATGTCTATCCATGGTGACGCATGCTGTCTATAGGAAGCAACCACTAGGGTGGCGACTACAAACCCAGGGGTAGAGGCGGGCTTCAGTCTTTTGGAGCAGCTTTGGGAGCAGGAATAATGAGGTTTTGAAGCAGTGTTGGAGCATTAAAAAGGTGTGTTTCGGAGCCGATTTCTCGGGCCACGCATCACCGTTAATTAGAATGCCTTGCTTCCTGATTAATACAAAAAAAAATTCTGTGGTTTCTACCAAGCACGCGATGCTGATCAAGGGACCAGACTTACCCAAAATTCATATATATTAAACCTTACAACATCAAAAGTGAAAAGCACAGCAACTCGAAGAAAAAAAAAACAAAAACATGTGGCGTCCTGGACAGCTACTAGACCTCAGACGAATGAAAAAATTGAATGTTAAAATGTTACAATACTCAAAACGTGATTAAAACACCGCACCCAACATGAACAGCAACTCAAGACTAGCGCTAATATAACAAAGGTTACCTTCATGCTAAACCAATAGGGCTCTATAAAAATGATTCTAAAAAATTATGTTCCGTTCATTGAAGTGCCGCAGCCGACATGACAACCACGATCAAATTTAGATGCGCTCGCCGCGCCATTTCTAGGCAATTAAGCGATTTTTTTTTTTATTACGACATGAATTATATGGACACTCGACGAGTTTTCACCGTCGCCGCCATGTTCCGCGCAAACTACTAGTTGGTACCATTCCCCGCGCATTGTACGTTCGACCCATGCGTAAAATTGCGCAAGCCGGGGACGTGATGAGCGCTGCTCAAGCAGAGAATAAACGAGACGGGCGATCTCGGACGGTGCACACGTTAGCATCCCACCGCGAGTTAGAACTGGCGTCGAATGCTCAAGCAGAGAGGAAACATGCCACCCGTCTTGAGCGAGCATGAAAAGACGTGAGGAAAGGGCTCGAGCAGCAGCCGTCAGCTTCGATCCTAATCAAGGGTGTGGTTGCAATAGCTTGCGCGCGCAATATCCGCAAGCGCGGCTCGTTAAACCGTTCTACGTGGTGCGCTCTTAACGGGAAGAGATCGCGCGATAAGAGCATTTCTCCCTGGAACGGACGTACACCAGCGTTTCGTAGTCGTGTGTGTCGCGATGTCGGATCCAAAAGAGATGTCAGCCTTCGAATTGTCACAGAGTCGTGATGCCGACGAAGGCCGCTGTTTTCATGAGTGAACTTTTTACTTGGGGCTAACCTGTGCCTGGAGAACAAAACGCCACTCTACAAGCAATACACTCTGTAGACTGCCAGCAGCGATCGTAGATCGTCGGCCGTCGATAATCTGCCACGCAGCAAAGTTTGTCGCCATTTATACATGTGTGTTCAAAGATTCCAGCGTTATCGCTAGCGGCCGCGTAATTTCCAGGACAACCTGTGATGTACGCGTTGTGCGCGTAATCTCATCAGAAGGCGTTATCTGGATGGTCCCTGTATCGATAGCCGCGCGTGTGGAGTGATCTTGTCATGCATGCTCGCTGTGTGCATTCACCTTTCCTGTGCACTCCGCCCTTTCCCAATTTATGGCTTGTCCGCCGAATAAACCGATGGGTTCTTCTCGTCAAGGCTTGGCTTCACTATCAGCGGCGGTCTTATTCGGGCGCAGTTTGCGCAAGGCAGCGTTACAGGCCTAATGGTGAGGTAACAAAAATAGAAAGAAAGGAGCGCGTGCGGCATCACATTTCAAATTGTTGCTAATGCAGTCATCGCTTAGCCGGTAACACTTTTTTTTTAGTTTATAGGGCAAAAAACTCGCCGCACCGTTGCCGAGCAACTACCGAGCCTAGCACGCACTCGGCGGTTGCCCGGTAACAATGCGGCGAGTTTTTTTGCCACAGCACTGCCGGCTTATTAGTTTGCTTAACAGCTTTGGTGTAACTACATATATAGAGTCGCATAATGAGGTATTCACACAATCGTCACCTTGAATCATGCATTGTGTTTACGTGGCGCAAGATTCATGCATGATCGCAAATAAGACGTTTTTATGGACGCGGTTGCGTCCTTTGTGTAGCCCAAGCGTGTTACGCGGTCGATGATAAAACTCTCAGGTCGCGGGATCGAATCCCGGCTGCGGCGGCTGCATTTCCGATGGAGGCGGAAATGTTGTAGGCCCGTGTGCTCAGATTTGGGCGCACGTTAAAGAACCCCAGGTGGTCGAAATTTCCGGAGCCCTCCACTACGGCGTCTCTCATAATCATATGGTGGTTTTGGGACGTTAAACCCCACAAATCAATCAAATCATGATAAAACTCTCGACTAAATTTGGCCTTGCACGTGCAAATTGCCGCTTAGGCGCAGCAAGTCGGATCGGCGCAGCACTTCCACCCCTGCAAACCACATGCATCTGCCTTTCATATTTCAGTCAAGCGATACACCCCAAATGCATTCGAAACAGCAGAGCAGGCCACCCCCGCAGCGCGCACGCGACTGCTGCGGCATGACCTGGCATGTTATTACAGATATGAGCCACAGAAACCGGAGTCTACGACCTAGGGCTCTGTTGCTAGACACTTTGTATGATATGACACCGAACCACAGGGCCATCAGCGCAGAAAATGAACCGTCGGAACAATCGTGTCAGTTAACACAAACAGGTGCATGGTGGGCATCTTTGCGTTCCGCCCTCACGAAATGCGGTCGTGGAGGCCGAAAATAGAACCTGCCGTAGCAGGCTCATCAGCAAGCCGGCCAGGGAGGGCACCACTTCTTTCCCCTTGTATTCCTTTCCAAGGACGGCCACCCTTGGCTTTTCGGTCAACCCACAAACACTAGATTTTTTTTTTTTTTTAGCGTGGACGCTTTTGGCATGGCAAGGCCCAAAATACAATAAAACAGGGTAACAACAAGCCTCACAAGCGTTCCACTTCCTGAGCGACCTAACTTCCTGCAATGTGCTTACCTCTGTTATATGACAGCCACTGGTGTGTCAGAACGAGAAAGATATCAAGCACTGCCAAAGTGCAGCAGAAACATTAAACTAACAAGAAAAAAAAATACAATGGTTGATGAGCAGGTTTTAGCACTACTATTCCATAAAGCACTGGTATTCCCCACTAATTTGTAGAGCGAAAGCACCTGTTCAAACCAAGTTTGTCACCTCTTTATTTATTCATTTCTTAGAATAACAATATATGCTAACATATTTTTACATATGCACTGAACAAGTGCTTGTTAAAAATTCAAATAGGGCAGCTAGCATGAACACAGTTAACATCCTTCAAGGCATGAATAGACATTATACAGAGCTTTGATGTATGTTTGGACAGTTCATCAAATATGCGAGTTCATTTAGTGCAATGTTCTACCTGACTATGTTGGTTACCAACAGTTTGTATATACCATGTATCATATCTGTTACACATCAACAGGAAAGTTGCATTATATGGTGTTCTAAATCTGTTACTGACTTCAAGAATATTGTCCAAAGTAGCGTAGGATAAATGAACGAATTTTCACAGATTTTACAATTCAATTATAGACTCTTAAAGTCTGTGAAAAGAAATTTGCTAAGTCTAACAAAGCAAAATCTCACGTACAAGATATACGTTTTACTTCTATGTCTTATGCAACTTGTAATTCTGCAGTTCCATTCTGCCTTTAGAAGTAAATGCTGTTCATGTATGTCTTTTGGCTTCTGTTAGATCAACAGACCTATCACACAAGCCAATTTGTACGTGCCGGATAAGAAAAAATAAATGCTTATTCTAGCTACCTTGGCAAAGGTGTATGCTGCGTAACAAGGTGTACAGTACGCACTCATGAATGTGCATGCAGTGTGCACACAGTAGACAGCGAGTACAGACAAAGACAACAGCTGCATCTTTGAGCAATGAAAGTTGACAGTGCAGAATGCAGCTTGGTACATAATCATCTGTCTAACAAATACTTGATGACTATAAAAAATTTCAGGACTTAGTGTTGACCCATTTAACAATAATTCAGAAAAAAATGCTGAATTCTAATTGTTTGTAACTTTAATATTTAATTTTTGTTACTGCATCATAAAAAACAGCATTAAAAAAATACAAGGTGCCCCAGCTCATACTAACCAAGATTTTAAAAGATATGCTAGTATACAATGAGAGAACATAAACTATATGAACAATCTGAGATGAAAAGCATACAATTTTTCTTGAACTGTTCAAGTGGATTTCAGTAAAAAAAATTAAACAATTTTGAACACTTAATGGTTTCAAATGGTCACTTTGGATCATGAATTGACACAATGTAGATTACATTTTTTGACCATGGCTGAAAATCACTGCCACACAATTCAACAACCGACCAAATTTGGCGTTGCACGTGCAAATTGCCGCTTAGGCACGGCTTGGCGCAGCAAGTCAGATCGGCGCAGCACTTCCACTCCTGCAAACCACATGCATCTCAGTCAAGCGATACACCCCAAATGCATTCGAAACAGCAGAGCAGGCCACCCCCGCAGCGCGCACGCGACTGCTGCGGCATATTGGTTGTGATTGCATCAAAGGTATTTGGTTAAGTGCAAACTGTGCACTTAAAACTGCCTCTTTTAAACACAATATTGGGACCAACCATGAATGAAGGTGAGTGGGTGGCCATTAGACTAAATTTTGTGAAAAAATTTTCAAATGTCTGATTCAAAGCTTTTTCCCTTGAATTTAGTACCTGTAAAATTAACTACACTAACAAGAGTACCGAAAGTTGGGTGAGTTGGTACTGGTTCATGGCTATTTGGTTGTTTTCAATAAATCAGTTGTAAGTTTGTGCCCGTGGTGTCTGTCTCTTCTCATCCGTGTTTTTTGTTACACAAGTAATAGCGTGAACCAGTAAATACACTAAGCCAATTGTGAAAAAAAAAACAGTATATATAACTTAGTCCCTTCATAAATTGGCCATCAACATGCTTTTACCTGCATCACAATATAGTGCAACTGCACATTCTCAAAACACGAGTTAAAGTTTGGTAAGTCAACCTGTATATGTACTTTGTGTCCACTGCATAACCTACTTGTGCACTTAGTATCGGTTATCTAAATAAACAATTTGCAATAAGAAAAAATATTTTGGCCTTTTTACAAAAATTAAAAAGCAAATATGTCAAAAGCTGTGTCTATAAAACATGTGGGCCAGTAAAGAATTACAGTTACCAATATATATAAACTGGTTACTTCTAACATCAATGGAACCAAAAGCACCATCAAAATCAGTCATCTCATCACTCAACAAACACAGTGCACAGACTAGTGGTGTTACATATATATCATTTGTAAAGATACTTCCTTCTTTAAATGCTTCACAATACTTAAATATGTCTTGATCATGCAGCCATTTGAAGAAAACTGTATATTCACAGCTATTTCCTTGAGGCTGGAAACACAGAATCTCACAAAAAGCACATAAGCCACTAATAGATATAGATAAAACTATGATACACATACTCTTGCATAGTTACATGAAAATTCCTGAAACATCACTTTAGGCAGACCGCTGGTTCCTTTGTGGTAAAAATGAGCACAATGATTCCACAGACATTTGATTACAATACTTGCCTAGCGCATCCAGTCGACAATGGCCCTGACCATTGTGACGCATTGCTATGGCAAGATGTGGAACGCGCCAAAAATGCTGAAGACAGACAATACCAGGTAGGCCCTATGTAACATGTAATTTAAAGCTGCACAACAAAGGAAAAATAAAGTCAATGTATCGCATAATGTGCTACAAATGTGCCATCATGGTGAAAGGCTATACATCATCCATTGGATGACAGCTGTTAGTATATTCAACTGTATTTAAAGAGGCACTGACACCATTTTTCAAAGACGGATACGAGCAAGTGTGAAGATCAGAAAATCTTGATACTTTATTTTGATTTAAAGTCAATTTTCTCATAGTGCACCTACTGCCACTGACACTGGCTTGACGTCAGGCTACAGTACTTATTCTGGCGACTTCGTGCGGGATTCTGGCTAGTTGTGATGACATCGTGTACCAAAATGGCTTATTGTGCGTCACCAAAACATTTAAAATGGCCGCTTGTGGGTTACCAATGGAATCACGGCACTGAGCAGCTACGTAAATGTCACAGTATCTTGCGGGAGCATCTGATGAGAAATTACTACTTTTTCAGGCTGCACTCACACTTAGCAGTACATTTTTTTAGACTCTTGATGACTTGGCCTTCATTTGACAAAAAACAAAATAAAAACATTGCAACTGAAAATTTTCGTGTCAGTACCCCTTCAACAGGCCCACTGAGAGCAAACATTAAATCAATCTAAATGGTACACTGACCTTACACAAACCTTCTAGCATTATCTGACAAAAAAAAAAGCACATCAGCAATGAAGGTTACATCTGAGAATCACTTTCCCTTCTTATATTCAGATTCCGAAGCATGAACCATGGTTAATATGACACAACTGCCCAAGACACCCAAAATTTCACAACTGTTGAGACTCTACCGACTTTTCAAAAGACTGATACTTTCTGTGAAGCATTCTACTGCTTGAAATAATGAAGTTTTCACAAAGGATGCCCAGGTATTCTTTATCTAGAGATGAGCAAATTTCTGTGTGGAACAGGAAGTTTGCCACAACTGTTAATTTTATCCAGTATCTTGGTGACCGAAAATGAAACTTCTACAGTCTTCTGTAGTGATGCTGAATACAGCTCCCTGCTTAATCTTATTATCTTATGCAAGTATCAAAAAAGTTTCCAGGTAGAATGTTTCTCAATTTTCACTAGCAGCAGAACTTTTATGTCACAGTCAGCAATTTATTTGCATTGGCTGGCTAATGCCAAAAGCTGCGACACTGCATGGACTTCGATCAAATATGTGTATATATTGTTGTTGGTAGCTTTTTATTCACTTCATGTCTCAAACTAACAAACTTCTGCTTTTGAAATCACTGATACATTTGCAATTTAACCATACTAAGAAATCATGCATTCCATAACCTGTATCATTAATAACAATGTAAATATTATTCTGGAATAGGGCAGAGTTGTCTTCTACTAATCCAGCCTGACAAGATACATTTTACAGCACAGCTGTTATGGTCGAGGTTTACCATGTGTCGTAGATAAAAAATTATCACCATCATGAATTGGCACGCGCTCATTGACCCTTCAAGCGTACTGTACAGATGGTCAACATGAGAAGCTTAATCGCGCCAACCAGCTCGGCTGTGATACAGCCTTACGAGACTTATTTCAAGCTGAACTAGCTCTCTTTAGTTTCTTTTTGTCAAATTTTGAAATACGTATATATGCTTCAGAAAAGTTGCCATGCTTCTTTAAAGCTATTTTCACTAAAATTCATTACTCATTTACAATATTTTTGTTAATCCCTTATGCATTACAGATTACCTGTTTTGAACTGCATGAAATAAGTCCATTTATGCCCCAATGAGAAAGCTATACAATAAGCAATGATGCGCCTCTGAAATTTTCTACAAGCTTCCAATTCCACAAATAATCTCCTTCAATCATGTGGAAAGGTTTAAAGTGACAATATCTATGGATGATAGGAAGCATTATAGAGAATATTCACTCCCCAACAGCTCACCAAGTAAAAATTTATTACAATTTTCAAAAGTTCACGCTTTAAATGGCAGAAAAAAAATTGTGGAAAATTAATAATAAAGAAGGTCAAATCCACTAACATATGTAATTAAGAAAAATCACTGTGTCACTGAACAGATGAAATAAACGAGAACCAGAAGGTGCAAGAGCCTGCTCAAGCACTTTGGTATCACAGCATGCCACTGCAGTATTCATCTATTCACTTGCAAGTCTCCTTTCAATATTTAGCAGTTCGTAAACTTCTAAAATGACAAAACATTTGCAGTGAACCTCAGGTAACCACAGAGAACAATTATTTGCAGAGATGCTAGCCTTCAAAGATTGATGCAAAGATGTCTCTGGTTTCACTCTAACTAGGTGAACAATTCTGGTTAAAAATATCCAGAAAGGTGTCCCGCAGAAGGTGGTGTCCTTATGTTCCAAAATTCATTTATGTTCCTTGTTCCTTATATTCCAAAAGTGGTTTGTGTATGTACGAGCAAGATTTAGTGCCTATTCACAAACCAAAAAGGGGAGGTGCAGCTAGTTTGAATGATTTTCAATGCTTAATTTCTACTGTCGGATGGCCTCAAAACAGCTCAGCTTTAAATGCACTTTTCAACACAGCCTGTACTAAAAAAAAAACAATGTCTACTCTACACAGAACTTTTTACATTATTATGTTATGCCTTAGACAGTGGCTAGAGTAAATCAGCTAAGCTACATACTTGTTGCAATTGATGGTTCCCCAAGTGATTCAATGCTTGCATTAGTACAAGACAATGTTTTGAAAAGCTAATTATTGTTAAGGTAAAGCTGCTAATGAATGCTGTTGCTACAATTTACTGCACTTGCTTTAATGGGTATTTGCGGACATAAATTTCAGCTGTATCTGGTACAGTTTAGTATTATAGATTTACCAGCTAGATATTTTGGGAATAAGGAGTGATTCTGTGGCCTTCTTTTGTTACTTATGGACATTTAGCAAGAATAGCCTATAGATTCAATACAAACTGGTATAACTGATACAAAGCATAATATCAATGTATTATAGTATTTCATTGCCACATAAATTAAATGTTTCAGAGTGCTATTTAACATAGTAGCAACAGGCGCTGCTCAAGGTATGAAAATGTGCATAATGAACTACGTACAAAAGAACAAATTTGTTTAACAGTCACACTTGCACGTAGTAAGTGCACCCCCTTTGAAATAACCTGCTAACAGCAGAATATTAAAGAAACATTGAAACTGTTGTTAATATTTTACAATGAAAACAGTGATCACCCACCAGTTCCTCGCGATGTCCTTTCATATCCTTATAATGGCTTCAAAGCATTGGAAATCTTGCATTACCGGCAGACATGAGGCGTTGCACCGGTTCAGTAGCGGAGATTGTCTGTAATTGCGGAGAATGTTTGTAATTGTAGCTGTCACACGCACATATTTCTACTGGGAAGCAGCTTCCAAAACGAACATTTGTCTCCATGTGACCAGACTGTAGCGTTTCATTTGGTGAAGTGGCAGATGCCCTAGTTGCTTCTCATGGTGAGTATGGTGGCAAAGGAGGCAGGCTATGCAAGTGCGTCAAGTCCTGTCGGTAAGGCCACATTTCTGAATGCGAGATGCCCACTACGAAGGTTTCTCGTGAGAAGTCATCATCCAGCAGCAAGCTGTCAATGGTTGAATCACCCAGCCGTGTCACGAGCACAGGACGAGCCAACAGGTTCGCACCTGCAGCCAGGACAGCTGCAGCTCCAGCTGCTGCAACAAGGTGGTAACTAACACTGAAGCTGACTTCCACACGTGAACTCCGACTTGGTTTTGTCATTTCTTGTTGCACCTCCATCAATGTTGAGATGTAGTAGCATGTGCCGACAATTCCAAGACAGAGGCCCACTGCACAATAAAAAATAGAAGTCAGTTGTTCCAAAATGAAATGATGCATGTATCTTTCAAGCAACAAGCCAGGCCACTAAACTCCCTATCTACCTCAGACAAGAAACAATTTCCTAACTCTATTTAACAACAACATCGTAATGAGCTTTCCTAGACCGCTCAGTTATTTTGACATTTTAACAGTACTGCACTGTCCGAAATATCGGGTGGTGATTGTACGGGTGTGTGGCGGCCTCACGGTCGCACAGCAGCAGCCAGACACCCTCATTACCTCACTGGGAGGGGAAGTGATGGGGCAGCTTCACGGTTGCACAGCAGCAGCTAGACACCCTTTCCTATCTTTTCAGTGGAATTTTATCGTGTTACGTGTGGGAAAGGGAAGGGTGCGCGATCGAGCTATAGCGGCCGCACAGCTGCTGAAATAAAGTTAGTTGTTCTTTGACCTTCAGGGACGCACTACTCACTTCTCTGTGGTGATTTCTAGCTGCGCTCGCGTCCCGCACGACAAGTGTTCATAATTGGCTGTCATTAGTTGCTTTATTGTGTATAGCAGTCTGAATAAATTCAGGGCTTTGGTTGGCAGCTGTAGGCCTGATTCGTGCAAGACCCAGACTCATTAGAAATTCTCAATTAAACAGTGTGCTTCTGGCTTTAGATGAAATAAATACTAATACAATAAAATACCGCTAGGATGAACATGCATTAAATGAACTATTGAATTGAATGAACATTTTCTCTAGATCACCCACCAAGGTATCATTCACAGAACCCAGTGCTAATGCACTTCAGTTGAACAAATTCAGTGCAAAATGCATTTGGGTTTTACGAATGTACTCTGTGACACCGTCTAATTTCTCCCAGTCATACTGATCACATTGACAAGTACCACGCTCTTTGTAGCATAGGTTTACGGTCGCTTCTCCAATCAGCTCCACCAATGGTGATGCCACCAGGGCTAATTGCAGAGGCCACGATTTTACACTGAAAATGGTGCTTCATTACTAAGTGTTAACAGTGGTCCTCAATTGGCCACCTATGACACTCACATCGAGACGTGCACCACACCGACTACAGTGTGGAGCATGTTTCGATTGTAGTGTGTGAGTGAGTGTGTGAACAACTTCATTGAAACCAGCGGATTAAGGCATGGGCATAGGCCACATCAGAAGAGGGGAAGAGACCCAGTCTCCCAGCCAACTCTTGTGCTCGCTGGATGGCCCATATATGATCACTGCTGATTTGACCTCGTCAGCACGGCTTTCCATCGCACCCAAGCTGTTTTCAGGAGATCACATTTTCATCCTGTAAATGTGCACATTCCCATCAAATGTGTGTCAGTGAGTACATGCATAGAGCTTAGGGTCGATGCGATTTTGGGGTACCGCATTGAGGAAAATTCTGGTTTGAAGTCGGCCCCAGTAAAAGACCCGAGATATAACTAGGAGTTAGGTAGCACAAACCTGTCCCTCGACTTTTGGTAGAATTGGATAATGCCACACAATCTAAACATCCTCTCTTTCTCCTTACAGGCTTTTCCTCTCGTTACCTAGTAATATTTTCGGATAAAAAATGGGATGCAGGTGAATTTCTGTTCAAAATGTGTACAGCTAGCACTAGTGCCACAAGGCTGGAACTAACAGCAGAGTTAGTGTTCGAAAAAGCTTTTTCGAAGCTTTTGCAAGCAATACTAAGTATTGTTAGGCTTGGCTGTACTTCTACAATTTTGCTTGGTTCCCCAGTCTACAAATGTGTCACGTGTTTTTGGAGGAAACATGCCACAGGACTAGCTGTTACTTGGTTTTTGGCAAGAACACGTAACATGATCAGTTGCTTTGTGACACTAGTTATGTGACAAGCTGTAACGCGATTTTTAGTCACAAGACCAGTTAGTCATGGGACTAGATGTTGCGTGATTTTAGTCACGTCACTAGCAGTTATGTTGCTTGAGTGGAATTGTGACACATGACCAGCTGTGATGTGATGTGGTTTTGGTCACATGACTAGACGTTATGCAATGTTGCATTATTTTTATTCATGTGACTAGAAGTTGCGTGATGTTAGCTCCGTGGCTATTTACATGATGTTACATGGCTTTCAGCCACAGAACAGTTATAGCACTCCACGGCAGGCAAATTGGCACGCATTAAGGGAGCGAAACAGAACGTGAATAACAAGACGAAGTGAGCAAGTTGCTGGTTCATTTCCATTCATACTACCTTGCACAACGATAGGCTTTATCAGCTCTGCTGTTCATAGAGGTGAAGGAAGAAGTAACACTTGAAGAAGCACTAAACATTTCGGCTAAAGAAGCATTGAAGTGCTTGGATAAACTAAAGCACTTTGCCGCCAAGCAGTTTTAAGTGCACAAGTGCCAGGAATAGAATACCACATTCTACACAAGATGCTAAATAAGCATAAATGCACATGTGGATGAGCAGTGTGACAAATAAATAAGTTGAAATTTCATTCGAACACTTGATGTTTTCTTTAGCTTGTGATAAGAAGCTGTAACGTAGCAGGTTCAGTTCAGTGAACTTTCATTTCAACAAGCTTTTTAATGAGGTCCCTTGAAGCTCATTCAAATGAAGTTTTACTGAATGCAAGTTTACACAACTCGCGTCCAAGAATTGCAGTTGCAACATAGGAAACGTAGTATCTGGTTCAGCACACTGCTTTTTCGTGAGTATTACAGATCTCTGCAACACCCCTTCCCAACAGACCTCTGATATTTCCATATTTTCCATTGTTTTAATTTCTGCAAGTCAGAGTGCATGCAATGCCAGGGTGTTTGCGATGCAAACTTAGAGTGCTGAGTGCCTCCAATGCCAACTATTGCCATTGCATGTACTGCTGATTATTGCATGCAAGCATTCCGTCTTCTTTCCATATAATGAAAAATTATTTTCTAATCTGTGGTTCAAACAAACTTGCCAAAGAGACATATATTCAATTAGCTGACATGCATATAAGATACAAATAACATTATGCTCATCTGAAATGCATGAAATGAAGACCACAAGTGCTGCAAAGGCCCTTATGTCTTCAGAAAATAAGCCACCAAACTGCATCTCACACAATAAAAAAAAAGAGAAGAGGTACCTGCAAGACTTCAACATGTACGGGGGGGGGGGGGGGGGGGGGGTCAAAAGTTTCCAGGCCACTATGCCATGTATCCCTATGGGAGCATGGTCTGGAAACCTTTGAGACCTTCTCAGTACATCTAAATAAAAACCAGCAGCTTGGCCACATGCTATTACATACATACACACAGACATACATACCTGTCACAATGCTGCAAAAAGCATTTCTGCGAATGGTTCTCAACCACTTGTAAGTAACACCAAGGGCATCCATAAAAAACTGCAGCAAACTGCTCACAATAGCCAGAAAACACAAAACTATGAGCACTCTTTGGAGGCTGACGATGGTTGGTGTGACACAGTCTTTCATCACTGCAAGAGAATGTAAAATGAAGGTTAGAAAACTTGCAAACAGGTCTCACTATCCTCCCAAACATTATAATTAAAATATTCGGAATATACTGCTGGCCTTGCTGAGCAAATTGCAGTGCCTGAATTTATAGTGCTGTTTTCAAGGGAAAAGCTATTACACATCATTTTGCGAAGCTCTAGTGTATTAAGCACACTGGATATATCACAGTAAATACATATTAATTGTACATTGTAGTTTTGGCACAAAACATCCCAGCAATTATAATAATTTTACTGTATCCCTGACTAACATCACATGATATAATACCAAAGCATAAAGGCATGTTCGAATTGTGTAATTTCCAGTACTAGGCTACTTCACAGATGGATGCCTGTTTTGCACCATTTAATGGTAAGCAGTTCCAGCGAACTAGTCTTCAATTACTTTTAGTTTAACTGCTACACCCCGTTACAACTCCCTTACCTTATGCCCTTCCCCTCTAACTTTCATTGGAGAAGAAAAAAAAAAAAAAGAGAGAGGCTCTGCAGAGCAGCACTGCAACTTTTGAAGAAAACCAATACTGGAGATTTTCCTTAGAAATGTAGATTACTAGACCACAATTTTTAGCCATGTCTTTTCTAATGTTTTTCTCTTTTCAAACTTTCTCAATGGCCAGAATAACACTTCCCCCACATCATTATTTGGATCGGCCGATGGTGAACGAAGTCAGAAAACTGATTTAAAGGCACTGCTACAGAATAACTGTACTTGTTGATGCATCTGATCAATGCTGTTTCAATGAAGAAAAAAAGATATACAGAAAATAGCTTGAGAACTGACAAACGTAAGTTGAGTCAGCTTAAATAATTTCATAATTACAGGCAGAGCAACTTTAAGGCTATCGATATGAATACCACCCTGATGAACAAAGTGTTATCAAGTAGTATGGCATAAACACGTTGATCACTTGTCTATATTTACTCCAGAAATTAGCATCATTAAGTAGTATTTCACAACCAAGCTGACCTGTTGTGTACATCTATTTCAGAAACTATTAGAGGTTCATTTAACTCTAAAACTGAGGACAGAAACAAGCTAATGTAGCTTACAATCATTCAAATTTACAGATTCTTTGCTGAAAGCAACGAACACAGATGAAACCAGATAGAAGCTTCCAACTGCTTCACACCTCAATCTGTGAATAACCTTGAGCAAGTCTCAAATGCATGGCAAACAGCTATCAGTCACTGTGTTTGTAGCAACAGTTGTGGGCACAGCGCTGCAACAGTGCACCCATAAAAAAATGTGGCAAGTAACAAAAGCAATATGTGCCATATCACTGCAGAAACAATTATGACCTTATTTGTTACGTGCACTAAAGACAAAGGCCTGTGCTGAAACATTACAACAAAATTTTAGATGCGAAGCATTTCTTTTTCGGGTCTATGTCCCGTGGCGCTGGCACTCGCACTCACTGGCAACTCTCCGCAACTCACTGGCAACTCTCCGCAACTCACTGGCAACTCTCCTCCTTTCCCCTCTCTAACAGCTGAGCGTTATCCACACCACTTCTCTCTCAACACCTGCTTGCGCTCGCTTTCCCCTTCTCTTTCCTCTAGGCATCCCTCCAAGCGACATTAACACCCCCATTGCGCATGCGCGTCTTCTCCCCTCTCTCGTCTCGCAACGCCGACGCAGGGAGCGTCTACGCTCGCTCCCCCCTCTTCTCTAGGCATTCAGCCCGACTTAGTTTACACTGCCATTGCACATGCCTGTCCCCTCCCTCTCTGATCTCCTACACTCCCTCTCTTGCCTCGCAACACCGACGTAGACAGCGCCTGCTAGCGAGTTTCTTGATTGAAAAAACCGACAGCTCGCGCTGCACAACCGTTCACTGGCCACCCTGTATATATAGCCACTAGATCTTGACCTTCAAGGTAGTGCCAGTGGGAGATTTCTCCTGTGTGTAGTTGAACAATAAAAGTTCGCAGCGTGTTAGCTAATATAGGATTGCAGGTCTCTGTGTTCAATCAGAGTCTCCTGTCTCTCACTGTTTATTAGCAGCGATTGGCATGTTCCAGTAGGAAACACCGGTCTATCACAGTGTGCTTTGCGCCTCCCCAGGTTTCTCTGCTGTGCAATGCTGTGATGAGTGCCAGCGTCAACGTCACCGCCAGTGTAAGCCTTAGGGCCCAGTGCTTCGCATGTACACATGGTTCCCTTTCGCAGGAAATGGCGTAGTTTTTTTAAGCGGCAAACAACCTCAGTGAGAAACCTGATCTAGTAGTGTAGGTTGGCAAACAAAAAGCACTGTGACATGCCAACACAGCCCTGTCATGTGCCATGGGATGCTATTTCTAGATATCTCAGAAGAAAATCAAGAAGCTCGGCCATCATTGTGGTGTCAATTTTATGACTTGCACACGAAAATTCTCAACAAATTCATTGCACATGACACCATTGTAACAAAATCATGTCAAGAAAAAAAAAAACAAGTGCCTATAATAGTACCACGTTCCCCAGTGGCTGAAGTTATATTGAACGTTTGTCATTGGCAAAGCACGCATATGGAAATAAGCAACTTCCTGCTATAAGAAAAACCAAGTGAGGGCTGGCTGGCTAAACATATTTGTCCTTTTTGTGTGAATTTACAGATATACAAGGGAAAGTTTCTCTTTGGCAAAGAATGCAATTACAGTCCATAGTCATTACAATTGATCAATACACTATGTCTTTCTGGATATAACATCCCGTTCTTCTCATATTGGTCAGTTACTGCAGACCAAACATGAAATTAATAATGCAACAATGTTGGGATGTGAATGCATTGGCTGGAAATTGAGTTGAAGCAACAAAATCGAATCCAAAAGGCAAGATCAAGCATCGTAAACACCAGAATAGTAAAAGAAAGGCCACTAAAAAGCAGTTGCTCATAAGCTCTCATCTTATTTGGCATCCATAATTGACTATACAGATGAGACTATCTTGAATAATGAGCTCCATCAAGTGTTCAGTTAGCATATGCTCCATAGAGACTACCTTAACCACCGTCATGATAGGAGAGTGAATGTAGATAACATTCCCAGTGACTTTTTTTTTTTCTCGTACGGAAGCGCACCAGTGGCTTGACCAACATGTATGTCATATCATGGCCCATATACAATCTGCTCCTATATTATATCCTACCTAACCAGCCTGTATTGACTTTGGTGCTCTAGGTGGTATGAGCTTGAATACCACTTCACTTGAGATGGATTTTTGTCAATAATAATCAAACTTTTCATCCATCAAACAAACATGAACTGGTTTAAAAAAACTAAGCTACCTGGCAGCATAAAAAACATGAACTGCATATCTGTACAGTTTCTGGAAGGTGATAAATGACACACACACATTCCAGCTTCATTTCCTTCACTTCATCAATGACACAAACAGCTTGAAGTTTTGGATATCAGAACATTCCCTCTCATCTTGTCTGTTTCCTAAAGTTCTGGTTGCGTAAGAATAAGCAAACACAAAACCAGCTGAACTTACCTTCATTCCACCCATAATAGACATAGGAAGGCAATCGTGACGGTCCGTTGACGAAGTGCCGGGGAAATACCTCAAAGTAGCCAACATAAAAGAAATTCTGCACCCCGAGGTATTTATGGCCACAGCCACCGCCCTGAAGATAAAACCAGCGTGGATGGACTAAGGCTGTGGAAAGTGTGGCAATGACAACAATGCTGAGAACTGCTGCCAATAAGTTCCGCTCGCGCTCCTTGAGGCGCCAGTGATGGGGCCGATGATGTCTCGCTGTTGCTCGCTCCAAAGGCATGGTGCACACAGTCTGCACCTCTAGCTGCGTTTTGCCTAAGGCACCATCCACATACTGCAGTCACCACTAGCTCCTCCTGCACAGACCATAAGGTGCGCACGACTGTAAATTTCTCGGCATCCATTACACGCTCAAATGTATGCAGTCATTCACAGGCTACAATCATATGGCAGTTTTCGCGAGACAAGAAAAAAGCCATATCTTTGTGGCCTATGCAGGGACGTAAAACAACTACCCTGCAAAAAGTAATTCTAGACAATCACTGACATGTAGCTAGAAAACCCGCAATCGATACAGTGAACACGCTCAATTTCCTGCAGGACCAGAAAACATCTAAGTTGTACAAGTGCCAGATAAATAACTTGAAAAAGGAAAACTTTTGCATCTAAGAGCATACTTAAAAGAAGAGCATGCTTCCTCTTCCATACCAGTAACATTATTCAAAACATTACTTGACAGTAATACATAAAATAAAGTCCTAATTACAGTACTAGTAATAGGTTAAGATATCACAAGGGATTTCTAAAATAAAGCAAGCACAAGGAGCATCAAATTACACAGCAACATTAGGTATGGAGAACTGCATACAAAAGAAGCCTGATAAAGCAAACTTTACAAATGATAACAAAACAATGTAGGCATCAGTACAAGTGGAGCTTACAGTGAGCAATAACTTTATGTCAGGTTCAAGGAAAAAACACTGCATTTCTGCTTTGCAAAAAAATCTTGTTAATTTGTTGATTTTTCAGACAGCATTACGAATTATTGAGTGTCTCCCACTACATTCAGTCAGTTCTCAATGGAAAAGTATTGCTGAAGTTTTATTAAACAAAGACTATTCCCTTTCATTTTTTTTGGCTATTCACATTTTTTGTATCACTTTAACAGGTGCTTTTTATACAACCACTTGAAGTGGTTAGCTACCTTCTGCTTCTTTGTATTAGAGCAGGTGAGCTTTACACACAAAACAGGGTAGCATGGTTTTTCAGGCAATTGTGCAGTTATCGAAGTTAAGCACCAGAAAAATATGTGGAAATTATTTTCATCTCAACATCATCAACTACCCAACCTCGAATTATTTTAATTACTCACTTATTAGTATACATTACATTTGTCAGATTAAAACTAGTCAGCTTACAGGAATTTCCACTGCATTAGAAATTCTGAAGTTTCACTTTCAACATATCATTGAAAACAACTGGCATTACTACTAACAGCTCTTAAATGTGCCATGTAAAAGAAAAAAAAAGGATGAATTGCATTTTAGTAGCATAATGTACTTCACTGAATAATTACTCATACTTGTTCCCATAAAGAATATCTATTGGCAGAATGCTTTAAGAGTTAATGCATACACTTTCATGTGACTCTTAAATGAACATGGCACATAATAATGGTATGTTACATTCGAACAGTTGAAATGTGAGAGGTCATGCACTAAGACCAACTAAAAATTCAGCGCTGAAACAATTTTCTGGAACAAAAGCCTCATGGCGTGAGGATCACTTTTCAGTGAAAAGTAGGCATAATTTGAATAAACATATAGGTTATCATGCAGCATGGCTAAAGTTGCACTTTACGAATGCACTTAAGATGAAAAAAAAATCAGAACAAGAAAAAAAACGCGAACAAACAAACAGAGAAACGCAGTGCACAGATCAGTGAGCAGCAACTTGCACCTGTCCTGACAAACTTTGCCTTTGAGGTCACTTCTAGTCCCTTGCTGACAGTTAAATTCGCGCGAGAATCGCGGTGCGCATTTAAGTTTGTGCAACGGTGCATATGCTAACAGCAGTGCTCATATTAAACCAAAAGCGGCGAACAGATATGTTGTTGTCTACAGCCCCTGCATTCAATTAAGATAGCATATCCTGCTGAGAGGGTTTGCACTGTAGCCCGTCTGTCGCGATACAAGGAGCGCAAAAGGAGCTAATATAAGCTATGATGCAAATATACTCGTTAAATCAATTTCGATTTATTGATTGCTGTTACACAAACGCCAGATGTTCACTTCAGGTGAAGCCAAAGAAGTGCGTGTGACAAACGAGCTGAACAGACTAAACGGCAAAATACGATCACTTCAAGGTTAGCCCCACCCACGGTAAACATAAATAAATGTGCAGATTACCGAACACAGTTTAATACATAGGCTTGGGCTACTTCATGGACGCTCCCATAGCTATAACACATTGTAAAATGAAAGTATTCATGACCTTGGAGTATGACTCACGACAAAAAATATACAACACCACCACGATGTCGAGGTTAGCTCTTGCGTATCTAAAGGGCGGCCCGAAAATATATTACACACAGCATGCCTACATTTTCTTGCAGTCTTAGGCTGGAAGCGGTGAAGCGTACAGATGAACTTCGTGTTGGATGCAGCGACTTCCGAAGACTATTCTACACTTTGCTGCAACATGCAAGGTGCAGTCGTTGCAGATTAAATGGACATCATGAACACAACTTATGTAAAGGCGTCCTCAAATAATAAATAGAATGCACTACAAAGTATCAGCCAAGTACTGCAGTACATAAGTACAGCAACATAAGTAGCACACAGATCTGGTAGCCTGTGGTAGGTGTTCTGTGGATCTACGAGCTAGCGCTTCGTGCTAACGTTGGTGTGGCGTTGACTTGCAGTCAAGTGGACCATAACATTTTTGCCCGTTAAGGCATTTTCGCTAACTGTAGCACTAACTCATATTTTTAAAGTTCTTGCTTTTTTTTTAAAGTTTAGGTGTTACGAGGTGCTACCATATATGTTCTATGGTAGGTGTTCTGTGGTACTACGCCATGCTTTGTTCTGCAAACCACTGCTACAGTACCACCGCCATCGACACCACGCTACGCCGCCATGGATGCCGCCTGCTGCGCCTGCGCTTTTTGACGATCGTCGTTTCTTGCATCGTTTTGTGTGTTGAGGCCGTAGCGCCATAGTACGCTCGCAGTAATTGCGGGGGCCGTTTGAGGGGCCTTTTTTGCGCCTGTAATGTCCAAACGACACCGAATAGACGTGGGAGATTCCCCGGTAACCAAAAAAAGGTTTGCGCTAATTCTACTGGTCATCTTTTGCTAAATTCGCGGCATATCGCTTGTTGTTTATTAGGCCTATCTTGTTGCGTAGTTAAAGTCGTAAAATCTCTGTTTTTATGCCAGATAACGTTCCACTTAGTGATCGTAAATGTTTTATTTATATTAACGGGTAGAATAACGCAATCGATGTATTTTGCTCGTCAGTTATTGTTGCGTTGCCATTAAGAGACATGCTACTGCTGCGCCGCGCTTTCGTGTCGGTGGTTCCTGTTTATTTGAAACGAATGCGTTCGTATTCACGCACGTGGTACGAGAGCGTGCGTTATCGTTAAATATATTCTTTACTTGTGTTGTCAGTGGTCGCGAAACAGTGAATATGGTCCAGGTGTTGCAGCGCACTTGTATGGCTGTAGTCTACCATACTTGTCTGGAGTGGTCGAATGACCGGCTGCGCACGCTGGCGCAGCCGCTATCTCGCGGTAGCTGCAGCGTTCTACTTGCGTTTGTATTAGCTCATGGACAGCGCATGCATCATGACCATGCCTTTTAATGGTACATTAAGCTGCTCCTGAAGCTTGTCTAGCCGCTTCGCGCCTCGTGGACGGTGATGTTGCCCATGCGACGGCTGTTTTAATTCATTCATAGATAGCCTAACAGTAGCGCGGGGTGTATAAATTCTCATTTTTAGTTACGTGGGTGTGAGAATAACACATATCGCTGAGGCATTCTGTGGATTACTCATTCTCAAATTTAACTTTTTTTAAGGTGATAAACTCATCAATGACTAGACATTATGAGAAAGAAAGACAGTGCCATCTTTCCTTCTATTTTGCTCCTTCCTTGTGTGTGTTTGTAGTGTTGCACTGTAAACAAGTTCACGATGAAGTTCACATGGACCAAAAGGGGCATTTAAGGCAGATTACCTCATGAGTTCCTAATGAAAAATGTTTATTGCAGGTTAATGATTATTTATATTTTTCCACCTGAAAGTCAGGTTTCTATGTTCCCTCCCACATTAATGCAGTTAAACTAGTGCTCTATTATAAATTGATCCTAGTAATGATTGTGCTGAGGTACTCAAGAATAGCTTGGAAGTGAACAGTGCAAATGTTGATAAGAACATGTTAATGTATCGCAGCCAATGTGCGTATATTTTATGGGAGCATTTGACATACTGTACTATTACTTTCTATCATTTAGTTCATGATGCTTCTGTCATGCGCCAGACAGTAGAAATACTAAGCAAAACTAAAAAAAAATTAACCAAGCAAAAAAGCACCACATTCAAACTGAAAGCCAACTGAGCGGTACTGTTTTAGTGTTAGATATAACAAAAAAATAAAGAGAGGGACTGATTAACTGTGAAACAGACTCGTTAAGTTGCTTTGCTGCAGTACACTCGGGTCATGTGCAAAAGCGTAGCAAGATTGAAAAGGGTTTACCAGCTCTCGTGGAATGCAGCATGTTTTGTCCTTTATTGGTCATGGCTACACATGCCGAATAATAACAAGTACCAGTATGATCGCTAACATCTAAAAACTGTGCTGGTAGTCATGCAGAGTGGTCCATGATGTTCCTTTGGCACTGAGAAATAAAAATTACATTTCACAATTAAATTTTACAATTGAAAATTACAAGTAAAGTAGGTATGTTGCCCAGTCATATTTATGAGAACTTCTGATATTGACGACTGAGGATTTGATTTCCTGAGGATTTTGATGCCTCAAACTTCTCGGTCTCCTCTAGTTTTAATTATCAAGAGCCTACTGTATAGCTTCTTCAGTGAGTACTTAAGTGTTGTCTTCTGAAAAAGTGATTCTGCGAAGATGTTTGTCACTGGAATGAACACACTTGTGCATGACACTGGAGCTACTGACCTGTCTTTTAAATGTTGGGTTTTAGGACCTGTGGAAAGCCACTTGTGTTAAGGCGAGTGCACACCGGCGACTAACAGCGGTCGCACGACCATATGCGACTGGTCGCAAACGGTCGTAAAGCGACTGCTTTGGCTAGTCGCTTCCTAACCGATCTTTCAGTCGCGCGACTGCGGTCGCAAAGCTGCTGGAACCAATCAGCGATGCTCAAATTTTGCTGTTTGTTTTTTCATTGCACTGGTGAGAACGGATAAAAACAAGAAATGCGGCGCGCTTGGTTTGCTTCGCTCACTCAGATGGCGGTGATCACCTGACAACGAGAGTTCTCGCTGATAACGAGATCCGGACGTGACTTTCCTATTTTGCGACTTCCGGTCGCTTGCATGCAGTCTGTGCCGGTGTAAACAGCAGTCGCTCTTTGGTCGCCAATCGCAAATGGTCGCGCGACCGCTGCTAGTCGCCGGTGTGCACCAACCTTTACACTATACAAGTGCCAGCTGCTAAGGAAGGCTATGCCAACATAGCCTTCTATGGCCTGGCCAAGAGTGCTCCGAGTCAGACTTGTTGCTGCACAAGTTAGCTGACACCAAAAAGATACATATTAGCGCAAGCTAGGTACAAAAAGGCATGAGAAAAGAGGCAACAGACACGAGAAAGGTTGGGTGCTGAAATTTCTCATGTCTCTTTTTCGAAGTTTCCACTGATGTGTATATGTTTGATGCGTGCATTGGCTTCTTTCTGGCACAGGGTTGATGGATGTTGTTGGTGTACTGTGGCAGAGATTCGTCATTGCTTTAATGATGAATGTTGTCTCCCTACGAATGTAATTTTATCATAAACGAGAACTAGCAGGCAATTCTTGTTAATATTGTCTAACATAAAAAACAAGCCTTAATTTTGCACTTCTTTCTTTCATTTTATCATTATAAACTGAGGTAAAGGGCCAATATGGTTAGTCTTAGTCCGACACAAAACTAGGCCCAGAGTGTGTGTTTTAACTTCAAATTTCAATTTTGAAGTGCTGCATCTAAACTCCTCTTTAGTGACAGTCATTTTGGCATGCACTGAGACATCAAGAAATGGGGGAGCCACTGCTGTGTCATGCTTTGAAAGAGTATGGTACTAAAATGGACGTATTTCTCTGCATGTCCCTGTGTCCAAAGGCATAGTTAAGGCCTACCAATTTCATTGTGTCTCAAATAACCTAATTTTTGCTTGAAGTACTGCAGAAAACTGCTACTGTTGAACCCGGGTATATCGAACTCGCCAAAAAACGTTTATTAGTTCGAAATATTGCATAATTCGATATAGGCCCGGCATAGGTTTTGACACAAAGGCAAATAACAAACTAGAAGTAATTTATTAATATGGTGGCTTACTTACGTGCCCTACTGTGGAACAAAATAGTCCCGGATTTTTTTCTGTGTCAACGACTTCGCTGCCTGCCACAGTGCGCACGCCTCCACGTTGTCCAACGAGTCGGAGCAGCTGAGGCCGCAACCTTCCACATTCAAGCAATAGCACCGGACCAACGCAAGTGCACTAATCACTTCGGAGGATGTAGGCAATGGTCCGTCGTCGATTTTCATATTGCTGTCGCTTTGGCTCGTGGTCGGCACGACGTCTGCAATGTAATCCTCATCCTGTGATTGGCCTATGATGGAGACATCATCGTTCGCACTGACGAACTCGTTGAATGGCGATAGCACCCGGGAACTCTGCCAGCTCGTTCCTAAATTCGGCGGAAACACCTGCGGTGTCTTCAGTGCTGTCAGAATTTGGGGTGTCATCACCAGGCATGCGGAAGCCGGCATGCCTAAAGCAGTTCTGGATCGTCTTCTTCCTGACATCTGCCCACGATCTACTCAACATAGAAATAGCTCCGAGCAAGTCGATCTTAAGCTCCCTGCCGACACGAAGGTTCTGCAGCAGCCTCTCCACCAGGCGCTTCCGATAGCCGGCTTTCATTGCGCGTATAACGCCTTGATCGAGTGGTTGCAGTACAGACGTAGTGTTTGGGGGCAAAAAACGCAGCTCGATGTTGCTGAAGACCGTACTGTAGTGGTGTGATGAACAATTGTCCACAAACAGGCACACCTTGCGATTTTCGCCTACCAAATCGTCATTCCACGACGATAGCCATCTGCTGAAAAGTTCCCCGGTCATCCACGCTTTTGAGTTTGCTCGGTAGGTAAGTGGAAGCGACAGCGCATTTCGAAAACACCGCAGTGCCGTGCTTTTCCCGATAACCAGAGGTCGAAGCTTTTTCGATCCGTCTAAATTAGCTGCCAACAGCAAGGACACACGAGCTTTGTTTGCCTTGCCGCCACTTGTCTTGTCGCGTTTTGTTTGGCAACATTTGCCAAAATAGAGCGGTTTCATCCGCATTGAAGGTATCTTGGGCTCTATATCTTGCTGCGATATTTCGCCAGTTTTCCTCAAGCCATTTTTCTACGCTGTCCAGATCCGCCGCTCTGCTTTCACCTGTAACAGCTTTGCCAACGATGTTCTTTGAACCGCTGAAGCCAGCCTGAACCGCCTTGGAAATCATTCTTGCCAAGCAGTAAAGCAAGGTCCTTGGCTTTTTGCTCGATCATAGGGCCGGACACTGGGATGTTTCGTGACCGAACGTCCACAAACCACTTGTAAACGGCCGCTTCAACATCTTCGTACACAGCAGCGCGCACACGTCGGGTGCCACGGGCACCTGGCCTTTTGTCCGACTTGGCCCTGATGTCTGCCTTGTTCTTCAGGATAGTACTCAAGGTGCTCCTTGGAATTTTGTATGCGGCGGCGACGTCGGACTTCTTTTCACCGCGCTCAACCCGATTGATGATTTCGAGTTTCGCGGCGAACGGCAAATTTTGCCTCTTTGTGCAAGCCATGATGACAGCGCGCCAATTCAGTTCACAGAGCACCAACGGGCAACACCACAGACCACGCTGAATCGGCAGCAGCAGGCACACAAGCATAAAGAAAGAAAAAATGGCGCTCAATTCTACCGCCTCCGCGCCTCGGAGAAAGCACGACGGCCTCTGATTGGCTGTAAGCGCTGCGAGCTGGCCAGGATCATTTCTTGGAAAGGGGTGTTCACCCGTGCACAACCGGGTCTAACCAACTTTTTCTAGGATGGCGCCGGCAGTTTTCCCCGCCACCGCGAGAGAAACCCAACCTGCTGGGGCACTTTTGAGGCACATGGAGTTTGATATATCAGTTGTCGTTGCTATTTTATATTATCAACGTAAACTTACCGTGTTTAGGAATTGTTCGATATTCGGGATAATTTGATATAAACGGATTCGATATAGTCGGGCTCGACTGTATTAGGTTCTTAAAGGAAATATTGAGATTTCGCATGGCTGCCATGGCATATATTAGCAACTGCTTTGTTTTTTTGCACTCTCAACTTTCACTGCAGAAATGGTCACGGGCTGTGCTCCTCCTGTGTGGCCGCGATGTTACGACCATGCACCTGCTTGTAATGAAAGATATGCGGAGTGGCCCATCGGTGGGTCACTCAGCACGTAAAACAAGACCTCGAGATAGCTTGTTGCAGCGAGCTTGTTAAAAGCATGGCTCTGGTAATTGCTTATGTTACTCAATGAAGTCTTTTCAGGAGGTGTCTGTTGATTTTGTCACCCATCCTAGTTGCAGCACTACTGTACCATTGAACTACAGCAGCAAGAAAATTCAAGTTTTCGACCACAATGAATGTACTCAAGTTTTGCCAGCTTGTGGAGAGTGTATGAATTGGCGAGCCATGATTCACCCATGAAACTTTTGGTATCATGGTCCCTTTAATGCATCAGGAAATAAAAATTGCCATCACTTTCAAAGTGTCATGGCTGTGTACTTGTTACCATTTGTTTCGTTGTGCCTGTAGAAAGGCTGCCTCTACATGTATTATGCAGCTACACCTCATGCTTAAAGGGGCCCTGCAACACTTTTTGAGCATGGTCAGAAAACGCTGCCGATCGATAGTAGAGGCTCCCAACAACACACGAGCCAAATATTATAGCGCAGCACGCAGCCTGGAATTCACAATAAATGATCCAAGTCAGCTGAAAATTGCTTTCTCTTCTCTCGACAAATCACAGAATAAGCCCAAAAATCACTCGTAGCCGATCTATCAGCCATTGAGTGATTTGAACATGGCGCGCTAACTCGTTACAGAGATTGCCGCAAGAGGCCGCTACTTATCCACGCTTGCGCGTGCGATCACACTGAGAAAGCCGTGCATTTGAAGAAAAAAAGTCCTCAAGGCCACGAGGAATGCGTGACATTTTTTTGTGGCCCTGCCATCCCACCCTGCTTAGCTTCCAGCGCTTTCGTCGGGACGAGAGCAGAGAGAATGCAATTGCAGCATGCGATCTTTGTAACTCCACTTGCACTGTACGGATTCTTAAAATTCTAGCGGCGTTGAATTTGAATTCGTAAGGCAATAAGCTTTTCCAGTGAATTCACTCCATGGTTACTTGAAAAAGTGTATCAGGGCCCCTTTAAGACATTTTCGTTGTTTGTAGGGACAGGGATCTAAAAAGACGCTTGTAAATTAAGATGTGGGAAATAAAAGCTGTTTGACTGTTTAAGGGGTACTGACATTGAACTTTAAATCCAGCTGTGCCCTCAATTTGATTATTTGATATGCATAGGTCTTCTTTGGCCAATTGAATGGCGTCCATCACATTGAAGTTATTTTCTTTCGACGGCAAACAGCATAGGTAAGCTTAAGGGGGATATTTAGTGCCCTGCAACGTCAACACTAGTGCTACGTGCTCGTTGCGACACATTCTACACATACCATCTTGAGCGACTATGCGCTAGTAGCGATGATGTCGATTTGATTTGTGGGGTTTAACGTCCCAAAACCACCATTTGATTATGAGAGACACCGTAGTGGAGGGCTCCGGAAATTTTGACCACCTGGGGTTCTTTAACGTGCACCCAAATCTGAGTACACAAGCCTACAACATTTCCGCCTCCATCGGAAATGCAGCCGCCGCAGCCGGGAATCGAACCCGCGACCTGCGGGTCAGCAGCCGAGTACCTTAGTACTAGACCACCGCGGCGGGGCAAGTAGCGATGATGTCGACGATCAGAGTAGTCTTATCGTGGTGCCGACTTCTTCAAATGCTCTTTCTCTCTTCATGTTAGTGTAGTAGTGCATAGACAAATATTATTGCTAACTAGTAACGTGCAGTTATTATTAATCGTGAATTTTAGTTCTTTGCGCTCACTTAATACCGGTTTACTACCGCCGTAACCGTGAGAGGCCAGATTGAGGCCATCTGGAGGCGTGAAGAACCTGGAAAGCACAGAATTCTTATAGAGAAACTTAACGTATTCGATTTCTCTGTTGGTGTGTATTCTCTCTGCCGATATACTATAGACACCTTAGTGTATGGCGGAATGCTAGACACATCAAAACTCTAATATAGCGAATTTAAACACATGAGCGAGTATGGCTGTAGCATGTGTACCGGGGCACCTCCTCGTTGCTACTTTTGAAATTGCTGGTCTACAAAGGGTCAATTGAAGCAAAAATGATTCGTGACATTGCAAATCACGGCGATTTCAAACTCCAGACTATCGTATTCAACACTGATAGACGATGGCAATGCTGGTTACAAGGAATAACTGGACATGTGCACCTAGCAGATGAAATATTAGCCTCACGTCACTCCTTTCTGTGGAAAAGGGGTCAGCTGGGGTAAGGTAGTTGGGGCATGGTCTAGAGGTGACCGCGAGGAAGCACTGTCGGCACTAAATGTGGCGGGCTTGCCAGCCGTTTTGAATATTGCTAGATAGCGGGGATATAAATCAATAAAACGAATAGTTATTTGTCCCTCAGTTGTGTTTTGGTTCATAAATTGTTACTAGGAAGACGATATCTACTCGTGGATGCAAAAATCTTGACATCAGTAAGTTTGATGCTATTGCTCATTCAAGGGACAGGCAAATATTAAGTAGACTGATTGTGGAAATCGAGGTCCAGGAACCTCGTAGTCTGTTTTTTTCCATAAAAGTTTGTGTTGAAGTATCGTTTCAGTGGTTTGCACGGTGTTAGCGAACTTCACCTCACCTGCTCAACAGGCCTTCTGGCATGGCAGTGTCCTTGCCCAACGTCCACCTTTACGGCGTGGCTGTTGACACTAGTAGCAGCAGAGCACTGCTTGGAAGGGCACATTGCAAGCCTTGTCCAAGTTGCGGTGGATCTCGTAATCCTCCACATAAAAGTGCACCAAGCACAAATGCAGATTTTTGACTGTTTTGCACACTGGCACAGAAGAATGGTACTCGGTTCCTTGGAGTGTGGGGGATCAGTTTGTGGCACCCATTAGGTCAAGCTGGTTTCTTTGCTGCAGCTCAAGTGGGGTGCAACATTCTGGCGTCTGGCTACATCGCATGCACGTGACATTTAGTAGAACTTTCTGTCACAGCGACTTTAGTGAGCGGACAAAGCACATGCAGCAGTATGCGATACCGAAACTACCACTGAGACGCGAACACGCGAGTGAAGCATAGTTCAGGAAAAACGAAACTCGTGAACTACTCGCACCATTTGTTATGGTTACGCCAAGCCATTATTATTTCCATTAATCAAACAGAAGTGAACAAGCAGCATTTTATTGTCTCTAAATCCACTGAAGGCTCTTTTTTATTGTAGCTGGTTTGATTACAAATGATCAGTTGTGTTTGGGACTTTTTACGTCATTGGAATCATTCCAAATTGTCCCACTCATGGTGCATATGGAGTCTTATATTTAGCTTAATTTCTTGATTAGCAGAGCACTGCTGTTGGCAATATTCATGTTTTAGGCATCAAAAATAAATTTTCATTTGCCTTTAGCATCCCTTTGACCAGCTGCTCTTTGAAAAAAAAAATGTATTGATAAAACATGTTATCCGAAAGTAGCAGCAATGTCGGGTGCAAGAATTTTAAAAAGTCATGTTTGCCGTGTTAATCGCTATATAAGAATTCGGCCTGCAGTGTGCTGTGACTTCTAGTTTATATTCATTTTTTTGCACCATTAATGCAGAGATCGGGATATTGATTATGATCGGGAGGACCGAAGCAAAGAGAAGGTGGACAACTGCCATAATTCACTGACAGTGCCAGTGGTAAGTGTTGTGTAATATTATTTTTGCTGTGTGTGTATTTTACTGTTCGTGGTGGAGCTGGGTAGTCACCTAGTTTATAAATATTGCATAATGATTGGGAAAAATAGGAAGACGCTTGAGCTTTTCCTTAAAGAGTATGTCGCGGCAATGTAATTAGGCGTGCGCATTGCCTTCTGAACTGCAATCTTGCTTCTGTTCTCTGTGCATGCCTCAACCGTGCCTCAAGGAAACGAACAACTGTGCTCGTAACATTAGCAGTTTTAAAGTAATATTGAATGCTGATTGTAAGCACTGTTGTTAAGTGCTTTCTATGCTATGAGTATTTCTTCTGCAAATCAGTGAAGGGCTCACTATGTGGCTGCAGGACAACACGCAAACCTTTGCAGCCATTCACTTTGTTGATGCTTCTGCTGCTGATGATGATTAAGGATGTCTGAATGCCTATGTAGTGGGTTTGCTTTTGAAACACCCACTTGTTCAATTCACATCTTGATGCCTGGTGCGATTCTACGCTTGTTGAGCACTATATAATGGGTTAAAGGACTCCATTCGCCACATGACATTCATGTAGTTTTTTTTTTTTTTTTTTCAAAGCAGTTTCAACAGATCCCGCAGCTGTGTGGCTTTTTTTTTTTTTTTCAAAGCAGTTTCAACAGATCCCGCAGCTGTGTGGTAGGACACCTGCTTGCCATGCAAGGCGGTTTGGGTTCGATCTTCACTCGAACACAGAAATTTTTAGTTTTAAAAATTTTATTTGTATCTCAATTTTTTGGTTATGGACAGAATGATTTTTCGCTCACAACCAACGACACCGACGCTCATGCTGGAATTTGTGCGAAACAAGCTCTTTAACGCTGTGGCCATAAAACATTAGAGGAGCCAATCGCTTCTCAGTGATCCCACTCCTGTGCGCCAAATCAGATTTACTGCGCCATCCTGATAATATCAACGGAAATTGCGCCAAACTGCACCAAAGTCGGATTTGAGGGCGTCTGTCACCCGCAATAACCACGCCGACGCGTCAATACATGTGAACTTTGTTCTCAGGGCCACCAAGGTCACAATTTAATTTCGCTGAATAAACTGCGGTCGCGTGCGCACGATGCAAAAATACTTTAGGTGAGTGAACGCCGCTTAGCGAGCGCTTGGCGGGTAGGGACCGATTATGTTCTTGTTTGTGCCAGGCCGATAGATGGTCTATGCGAATTTCTTAAATGCGAATGCACTGTCTATGCGAATTTCTTAAAGGGCCTCGGAGCGCTGGGAATGACTGTATATGTGTCTGCAAGGCTTGTGTTGGCTGCTGTTGAGCAAGGCTTCGGCTCAAAAGCAAATACGACTGTGTAAATAAAGGATCTCCAAAACAAAACGTTTAAAAGCGGATCTCATTCACGTGTATTCTAAAACAAAAGTCGACTCACCTTGATAGCACAACCAAAAGGTGAAAGAAACAGATGACATGAAAGTGGCAGAGCGAACGGGCTTTGTCGTCTGCCTGCGAAGTTTAGCGGCCATTGGTTCCTTCTTAGGCTTCGTAAAAATGTACATCGACGCAGAAGGTTCCAGTGTTAGATAAAACACGTTTCTGTGCAATGACAAAAATAAATAGCTTATTACGTGCTCTTTTAGTTAGAAATCAATCATTTTAACACGAAGCCAGATGCGTTTTCAAAGTAAACAGATACGAGTCAAGGTCAAACAAAGCTCACATATCCTGTCATTCCCTTGCATCCAGCAGCTCACTGCGACATTAACCTCTAGGTAAGTGTGTAATAAACTCTATGTTTAAAGGGGCCCTGAAACAGTTTTTCAAGTAACCACGGAATGGATTCACTGAAAAAGCTTATTGCCTCATGAGCTCAACGCCACAAAAATTTTAAGCACCCGTCTCGTACAAGAGGAGTTGCAAAGAATTGTCATGCGCTGCAATCGCATGGCAGGGGCAAAGAAAATACTTCACACGCACCTCGTGACCTTAAGCAGTTTTTCCTTTTTTTTTCTTCGAATACACAGTTGTTTTTTCATGAGATCGAACGTGCAGCTTTCCCTGTAACGACCGAGCGCACCATGTTCAAATCAGCCAATGGCTGATAGATGGCCTTCTACATGTGATTTTTGAGCCTCTTCCATCATTTCTCGAGATAAGGAGTTCTTAGCTAACTGTGAATTCCAGGCTGCATGTTGCACTATAATATTTAGCTCGCGTGTTCTCGGGAGCTTCTACTACCGATTGGCAGCGTTTTCTGACCATGCTCAAAAAGTGTTGCAGGGCCCCTTTAAGCATGCACTGCCTCAACGAGAAGCTCGGGGACCTAGTACATAAAAGCAGATGTAACATTACGATAGCATCATTATTGAAAAAATGCACAGGGAGCATCTCAGGGGAAAAAGGGAAAAAACTAGTCACATTGTTTGGTAAACAAATTGTATGAAACGAGTGCTAAACAGCATTGTAATATGCATCGATTTGTTCGAATAAAGGCCACAAGCAAGAACAAAGCCCCGCCGCAGTAGTCTAGTGGCCAAGGTACTCTATTCGATCCCGTGACCTGCGGGTCACGGGATCGAATCCAGGCTGCGGCGGCTGCATTTCTGATGGAGGCGGAAAATTGTAGGCCCGTGTGCTCAGATTTGAGCGCACATTAAAGAACCCCAGGTGGTTGAAATTTCCGGAGCCCTCCACTACGGCGTCTCATAATCATATGGTGGTTTTGGGACGTTGAACCCGACATATCAATCAATTATCTGTGGCATATGCGGAAGGCAAAGTGGAGTCTTATGTATTAATATAAACCAACTTTAATCCCCTAAATGCGAGGGCAGTTGCTATAGTCACAGTGAAAACCAGAAAGCTCATACCCAACTCACAGTGGTGGTCCAACTGCGCCAGTTGTGCCATTTTGCTACAATTGCTTATTCCTGAGCCTTGTTACGCACATTCGAGTACAGCTTGCACTAACTGAAGTTCACTAGTCCACCTGTTTATATGGCATTGGATTGTTCAAGGCCCAAAAATATTCTTGATCACAACACACACTAATAGAGCTTTTTTATAATGCCACTGATGCCCCTCGATCTGTTCCAGTGACGCGCATTTTGTCATTATATTCAGCCCAACAAGTCTGCATTGCTGCACCACATGTGCCTCCATTGTTGAAAGTTTAGCATGCCGTTTGTAGTCTTTTGATTCACTAGGGAACTGGCGACAACATCTAGAAAAGTGATTTTTATCCTTTGTGAGTAACTCCGTGTACCCTTATGTAGACATTGCGACCAAGCCTTTGCAGCTATTGGCATTGCGCAGTGCAAACAGCGTCTTCAGACAAATGAAGATTTCGCCGTGCAAAAGTTTGATATTTCCCAGTAAAAGTAGATGCCCCGTAATTGTGCTGCACAGCATTCTTGGGTATGTTTACAGTAAAGCTAAGCCTAAATGCCCACGTTGAATGAGTTTGACACGATGTGGTGAAACTGCTGCCTGTGCAGGTCTCGCCGTGCTCGTTGGACGTCTTTATTTCGATCGTGAAACCAACTTAAACCAGTGGCCAGCCAGCACATTTGGAACTGAGCAGCACAGCTGGCCAGAAATAAAGAACGAGTGGGAAATGTTTTTAACTCCCAACTAAAAAATTTGTGAAAATGCGCAAACCCAACGTTTCGGAACATACTTGGTTGCTTCCTCAGGGGGAGGGGGGGGGGGGGGGGGGGACTGGGGCTACGTTGCAGCGGCGTCTTCAAGGCACTCACGAACGATTAGTGGGCCCCCCTAGCGATGTGCACGGGCTCCGCGTAGCCCGAAAGCTCGAGCCCGGCCCGCGGGCCAGGACGGGCTCGAGCTTCCTTGTTGAATTATCGGGCTGGGCTCGAGCCTAATGAAAAGCCCAAATAAAGCCAAAAATATAGATGATGTGCTGGAATTCTTGTAGTTCATATGTGTGCTTTCTTTAGAAAGAAACCGGGATGAAGTTGAATCACTAAGTGCGCATGCTCCGAATCGGAACTTCTCGAGTTTTGGAAAGGGAAAGAAAAGAACTATCCGACACTTGCCAAATTTGCAAGGAAGATCTTGGCGATTCCAGCTACAAGCTCCAGCAGCGAGCGCAACTTCAGGGCTGCAGGATTCGTAATGCAGGAATGACGCACTCGATTGAAGCCCGGATCGATGGATAACCTTTTGTTTCTGCATGATAATTTGTGAATGGTTTTTCATTCAGTCTCGACTTTTATCAACAATGCAAAAAAAGCCTACAGGAATGAACGGCACGCTTTTTTTCCTAATAAACGCATTTTCATTTTTCTGTTGCCATGTTCTTTATTGTGTCGTTCATCGGGCCGGGCCAGGCCTTCAGTATGAGACGCCGAGCTAACCTACCTCCGGCAAGCATCGTGCCCGGGATAGGCCGTGCTGCGAAATTGCAGCCCGTGCACATCTCTAGGCCCCCTTCTTCCGTTTCGCCGTGGAGCGTAGTCCGTGTGCATACACTGGGAGAAGGGTGTCAAGAGAACGGTTGATGTTTTTGCCTGTTTGTTGTATATGGCACGACTTGAGTAGTAACCTTTTCCAGTTAGTCTCGCTTTCAAGGATGGTCGTTGCGGCGAAATTTATCTGGTGGTCATATGCCTCTGAGTGCTCGGCAACGACGCTGCGCTCTTTGTAGAGCTTCCGGATATTGTTGGCTTGTTGTTTGAGTCGTTCTGTTAGGTTTTTGTCTCCTGATATACAAAGAAGGGCACTCGCTGCACGGGATTTAGTGAACGACACCGAGACTCCTGTTCACTGTTCGCTGGTCTTTAGGACGGAGGAGAAGGTGGCCCAGCGTACGAGAAAGGCGCGTGCATAATGAGAGTCCTGTGCACTGTTCGCCGGTCTTCAGGACAGGGAAAGGCAGCCCAGCGTACAAGAAGGCACATTCGTGACGCGAACCTCTTCTCTTCTGAAGACCTGTGCCAACATTTCACTGGTTCCTTGGATGTATGTGACCGGTACACGTTTTAGAGGG